CCCTAAATCAGGGACTTCTAACTCTTCTGCTTCAATCAGACCACTGGTGTCCCTCCTTAAGATGACTTGCCCATCTGACTAACCCAATGTGGCTCTACTTTTCAGCACTGCCTGATACATTTTGGCTATTTAAATCTAAATAAAATTTACAATTCATTCCTCAGTCACTTGCCACATTTCATGTGCTCAGTAGCCACATTGTGGCTTAGTGGCCACTCTATTGGACCGCACAAATGTCGTGTCCTCAGGAGGGCTTAAATTAATAATAAAATAGTGTATTTATGGTACATTTTTTCTTATCAACCACTTTTCCCTCTCGTATTTCATTTGACCCACACAAAACCCTGGAAAGTCAGGTGGACACATGGATTTTTTTTCTCACTTGTAAAATGAGGAAGTTAAGAAATTCAGTGTTTTGGACCAGGATCATGGGCCTAGTTGGGGCCCAGAGCCAGGATAAAGACGTAGGCCTCCTGGTGCCCACCTGCTTTCCTGAGCTATGCAGCCGTCTCAGGTGCAGGTATGGGGGTTTTGCGGGTTGGGTTTATCTATTATGGGATGGGAAGAAACATTAGGGATTTTACTGAAAACAAAAATAAGCCATATTAATATTTAGTCCGATCAGACAGTAATCCATACAAGCAGTAAGTAAATAACACCTATATTAAGGAGTTGGGCCCTGGGGTAGCTCAGGAAGCACTTGGTATCACTTCTCCCAGTTTTGTAATTCTGGCTCCACTCTCCCCAGAGTTTGGCGGGCTAGCCCAGCACCTGGACTCAGTGAAGAAAGTCCACCTGCAGAAGGGCAAGCAGCAGACCCGGGTCCGTCGTCCTCCAGAGCTCCCTGAAGAGGAGCCCTTCCTAAGAGGCCCTGCCCTGGAGCTGGTAGCCACTGTGGCCAAGGAGCCAGGTCCTGTGGCACCTTCTACGAACTCCTCCCCTGTCCTGAAAGCGAAGCCCCAGCCCAGCCCCGGCTTCCTGACCCACCTGCCCACGTGTGACTGCTTGCTCTGTGCCAGCCCCGTGCTCTCGGCAGTCTGTCTGCGCTGGGCATTGGTCACAGCGGGGGTGAGACTGGCTTTGGGCCATCAGGCCCAGGGTCTGGATCTGCTGCAGGTCGTGCTAAAGGGTTGCCCTGCAGCCACTGAGCGCCTCACCCAAGCTCTACAAACTACCCTGAATCACAAAGCACCTCCCTCCCCTGTCCCGAGCCTCTTGGATGAGATCTTGGCTCAGGCCTACACACAGCTGGCACTGGAGGGGCTGAGCCGGCCATCACACAAGAGTCTGGGGAAGGTCCTGGAGTCGGGGCTGAAGTTTGTGGCAGCACGAGTACCCCACCTGGAGCCCTGGCGAGCCAGCCTGCTCTTGATTCGGGCCCTTGCAAAGCTGGCCGGCCTCAACTGCTGCACTACCCAACTTTTTGCAAGCTCCTGGGGCTGGCAGCCACCATCAGTAAAACCCTCCCCAGGCTCAGAGCCCTCTAAGCCGCGAAGCCAAAAACTTTCTGGAAGGGGGCGTCAGCGGGCAGCCTCATCTACCCAGCACCTCCATAATACCTCTCTGAAAAGTCTGGAAGGTGGAGGACTGCCCTGTACACCGAAGCCCCCAGGCCAGGTCAGGCCAGCAGGCACTCGAGTCCCTTTTACTGTGTTTGAGGAAGTCCTCCCTACAAAGAGCAAGCCTGAGGTTCCCAAGGCCCCTAGAGTACAACAGAGGGTCCAGACGCGCCTCAAGGTGAGGTGGGACTGCGGCTGGGTGGTGTTGGTGTCAGGTGGGGTGGTTCTGGAGAATTCAGAATAGGTGCCTTTCCCAGGACCTGGTGGGGCCTTCAGCTCTACTGTTAACCTGCACAGAAAGACAATTCTATCTTTGTTTCAAACAGAAGGTGCTTTCCTTAACTCTGTGGTTCCTCTTCCTTTTCATCCTTTGTCCTTTTGTTCCTCCCTTCTCTCCCTCCTTCCGCACCCAAGAGTCCTGGCCCTTGATTGAGCTGCCTCAATTGGAGAGGTTAATTTTTAAATCTTCCCCCAAAGGCCTCTGAGAGTGTGCCTCTGCAGCACCACCTGCTGGCAGATGTCTTATCACTGAAGGCCCCTTGGCCCTTCTCCCTTTCCCACCCATCCCAGGTGAACTTCAGTGATGACAGTGATTTGGAAGACCCTGTCTCAATTGAGGCACGGCCTGCAGAGGGGCCCAAGAGACGGGGCACTGCTTCCCGGGGCCGGGGCCGGGGCCAGGCTAGGAAGAACCCGAGCCTGAAGACAGTTGCAGTGGCAGCCTCAAGTAGTGCCCCTGGGCTCCCAGGCCTGGGTGGTAGGAGCCGGAGGGCCAAGAAGGTGACATCAGGACACTGTGAGGAGCTGGGCTCTGAGATCATGAGGACCATCCCTGAGGAGGAAATGACTGACAACCAGATGGAAATGAGCTTTGAGATCCTCAGGGGCTCTGACGGGGAAGACTCAGCCTCAGGTAAGATGGTAACGGTGGGAGGTAGAAGGTGCATACATCTTTGGGGGTCGGGGTTGCCCTGGGACCAAAGCACAAGAAATAACTGATGCCAAAGACAGTACAGATATACAAGTTTGTTCCTGGCTCCGGGACTGGATCCTAGAAAGAACAAAGGAGACGACAGGAGGAAGAAACTACAGAAAGTCACGTTCTCTCCCTAGGTGGGAAGGCACCAGCTCCAGGACCTGATACAGCCATAGGAGAATGTGAAGTGTTGAGACGTGATTCCAGTAAAGAGGAGCTGCCGGTCCCATGCCCAGACAAGGAGAGAGACAAGGGTCTTGGTCCTCGGCTCCGACTCTCCTCTGCCCCTGTAGCCATTGGTGAGGCTAACCACTGAGGTCTGGTCACTAGGAGAGGGCGAGCCTCTAGGTTGCTTGATCTGATGCCCTTGTGGCCTGCCCATGGTTCTGTCTTCGGATCCTCATCTAGATCCGGTCGCCTTTGAACCTGGGTTTGAATCCCATCACTCTCTTCACTAGATGTGTGCAAGTTACTCAGCCTCTCTGAGCCTTTATTTACTTACCTATAAAATGGGGTTTGGGGGGATGGGGTGAGTTGAGGTAAGTTGCATAGCATCCCACCTGGCACATTGCCCTGCATTAATGGTAGCTTTTTTTATCCAAGTGGGAGATGAGATAGAACCTTGGAAACTTGGAACTTTCCATAAAAGTTTTATGAAAAGTTGGGACTTTTATGGAAAGTTCCATCAGCTAAACAGTATGGGACTCATCTACAGCAAGTATCTTCACCTTCCTCTAGGTCTCTCTACCCTGGATTCCATCTGTGACTTATTGACCATTGCTTTCCGTGGGGTTAGTCATTGCCCTCCTAGTGGACTTTATGCTTACCTCTGCCGCCTCCTGGCTTTGTGCTTGGGCCACCGGGATCCCTGTGCCACAGCCTGCCTTGTCACTGAGTCTGTGTCCATCACCTGTCGCCACCAGCTGCTCACCCACCTCCACAGGCAGCTCAGGTGAGTTTCCCCAAGGCCCATGCAGGGGACAGACTGGAAGGAAGGTCTAGATTTTGAAGGAGGGAGAACTCACCCCTACTTATGTTATCTGCAGCAAGGCCCAGAAGCACCGGGGAGCACTCGAAATGGCAGACCAGGTGCAGAGGCTGAGCCTGCAGGACAGGCCTGGAGATGTCCCCCTGGCCCGCATCCAGCACCTCTTTTCCTTCAGGGCTTCAGGATCTGGTCAATTCCCTGAGCCTGAGAAGGAGAGTTTCCAGGAGCGCCTGGCTCTGATCCCCAGCGGTATGGCAGCAGGCTTCAGCTGGCTCTCCTGTCCTTTTTTGCATCTTCTTACTAAGGAGTTAGGGGAAGGAGTTTAAGGCATTAGTTAACATAGATTTATGACCCTATGGAAGAACATATCCTCCCTTTTCACTGATTGTCATTTTGTTACTCTCACCAAAGAGAAATACCCTAAATTTGGAAGTCTTGTGCTTTTTTTTTTTAACCTCCACTCTGCGTTACTAGCAGATTCAGTGTCTTTTTTCAGGGGTAGGTTCAGATGTCCAGAGTCTCCCTGCACTAACACAAAACGCATTAACAGATGATTTGAGTGCCTCCCTCTGTTCAGGAACTTTTGTTAGTTTCTGTGAGGGACACATCGAAGTACAAGATGTGGTCTCTCTCCACAGGGGGCTGTTCGGGGAGAGCAGCTTGAACTCCAGTGAGCAGAGATTTTTTAGAATTGTCTTGAGTGATGGGTAGGATTGAGTGCAGAAGATGGGGAAGGGAGTTCCTTGTAAGAGCTGAAATGATTCTGGGTATGCTCTGTGTGTCAGGGGTGACTGTGTGTGTGTTAGCTCTGGCCACACTTCAGCCTGGAACCGTGGGCAACACCCTCTTGCTGACCCGGCTGGAAAAAGACAATCCCCCAGTCACTGTGCAGATCCCCACCGCCCAGAGCAAGGTAGGTTTCCTGGGCCAGCAAGCAAAGTTGGGCTGGGGTAGGCTTCTGGTCAAGCTGCTCATATCCCGCAGCTGGGGGGATGGAGAGGTGGTGATCACGTGGACAAGCAGAAAGCTCACAGTCCCATCTCCCAAAGCTTCCTCTGAGTTCGGCCCTGAAAGAGTTTGACACCATCCAGAAGGAACAGAAAGAGAACAGCAGCTGTACTGACAAGCGAGAATGGTGGACAGGACGGCTAGAACTGGACCATAGGATGGAGGTGTGTGCTCCCAAGGTGTGGTGGGGTCAGGCCTGCCCTGGGAGTGACCCTGCGTGTCACTGTCCTCTCTCTCAGGAGTCCGGGCTAGTGCCGAGTTACCTCAAGTCCTTTCTGGAAGCATAGCCTAAATAAAAAATGATGTTACTTGAGAACGACTTCAAAAAAGAGCTAAAAACTTAAAGGGGTGATGCCAACAGAATGTTTGAGGATACATACAAGAAAAAGATTTAAGCCCAAGTATCAGCTTCCCAGGTTTAGCTTTCATTGCCCACCTGTTTGTATTTGTCAAGACATGGTGATATGTGATAAATCATCTTATCTGTACTCCCCGAGTCTCAGCAAATGAAAAACGTTTCTAGCTTCTTGCCTTTTTAACTGGCGGGAAGATGTGTAAAACAAATATATACGTTGGAAAACCCATTTCCTCAGCTCCTCTCTGACCAAACGTTCTATTCTTCCTCATTCAGGCTCTCATCATTTCCCTAGAGAAGCATATATTGGGCTGCTGGAGGGGACTGTTGCTGCCATCCAGTGAGGACCCTGGCCCTGCCCAGGAGGCCTCCCGCCTACAAAAGTTGCTGCAGGAATGTGGCTGGGAATATCCTGATGCAGCTCTGCTGAAAGTGAGTTGAGAAATCTGGGAGGGGGAAGAAGCTGGACTTAATTCTTCCCCCACTGCCATTGTGAGTGGAGATGGGAGCGATGGCCCTCACTGACCACTGTTCCCCTGCAGACCATGCTCAGTGGTGCCAGTACCCTCACCCCTCAGGACATTGAGACCTTGGCCTATGGGCTGTGCCCAGCCTGGCCAGAACGAGCCCAAGAGCTTCTGAGTGAGGCAGTACGACGTCTTCAGGGTCAGACAGTACCAAGCAATAGGCATCTTGTCTTAGTGCTAGACAAGGTAAGGAGCTGGGGGCTGGAGGGACCGTATCTGGTGGGCAGCGGGCACCAGGTCACCCCTCTGCCCCCTTCTGATGCTTGTGGATGCCTGCCTGGGGATGGTAATCCCTGCATCCTTTTTGTCCAGGACCTGCAAAAGCTGCCATGGGAGAGCATCCCCAGTCTCCGGGCACTGCCTGTCACTCGGCTGCCCTCCTTCCACTTCTTGCTCAGCTATTCCATCATCAGAGAGGTGGGTTTCAGGGAGTGGGGGAATGATTAGTAATTGAGGGAGATCTGGGAAGACAGGAGAGGGTCTTAGGGATGGGATGGTTCAGTCGTGGAAAGGGGTTTGGAGTTTGTTGAAGCTTGGGCTCTCTGGCCAGACCAGGATCCTGATCACCAGTGTCTTCTCCTCAGTCGGGGGCCTCGGCAGTGCTAAGCCAAGGGGTGGATCCACGCAATACCTTCTACGTCCTGAACCCTCACAATAATCTGTCAAGCACAGAGGAGCAATTTCGAGCCAATTTTAGCAGGTCAGGGGGAGAAGAGTAAGAAAGGGGGTGGGGGAGGGTAGAGAGGGGCAACATGTCCTTTTCCCCTGAATCAAAGCTTGCGGCCCACCTTCTGCCTAGTATTCCCTCTGCCCTCTTTGCCAGCTGACCCCAGTTCTTACTCCTACCTTTTCCCTACAGTGAAGCTGGCTGGAAAGGGGTGGTTGGGGAGGTGCCGAGCCCAGAACAAGTGCAAGCAGCCTTGACAGAGCATGACTTATATATGTGAGTGCTCAGGGCAGGGAAGTGGGGAGGCGGGGTGGGTATCACCATAGTTTGTTTTGTGGCTTTCAAGCCACTGGCTGACTCACGACGCCCCCGGAGACACGCCAGAGGCCGGCTACTGCTGGGTCAGATTCATCTCACATCCTTTTGCCTTAGCTATGCAGGGCACGGGGCGGGTGCCCGCTTCCTGGATGGACAGGCCGTCCTGCGGCTCGGCTGCCGGGCAGTGGCCCTGCTGTTTGGCTGCAGCAGCGCAGCCCTGGCTGTGCATGGAAACCTGGAGGGGGCTGGCATCGTGCTCAAGTATATCATGGCTGGCTGGTGAGTCTCGAGGGCTAACCTAGGTCCCCACCCCAGGTTCTTTCCCAGGTCTGAACACTAAATCCTTCCTCATGTATTTTGTTTTAGAGCCCTCACTTTGTAGTTCTTTTTTTTTTCCCCAGTCCCCTGTTTCTGGGTAACCTCTGGGATGTGACTGACCGTGACATTGACCGCTACACGGAGGCTCTGCTGCAGGGTTGGCTTGGAGCAGGCCCAGGAGCCCCTCTTCTCTACTATGTCAATCAGGCGCGCCAGGCTCCCCGACTCAAGTATCTTATTGGGGCTGCACCTGTGGCATATGGCTTGCCTGTCTCCCTGCGGTGATGCCTTGGAGCTGTCCTATCACAGATAGAAGCCATGTGACTGTTCTACCTCCTGTTCTTAGATTTAACCCTTAGGATAAATATTTTTAAATGACTTTTCCAGTGTTTTATATGAAATATTTCCTTTTGATTTAACCTTAATATAATAAAGATGTAACATTTAAACCCTGTGTTTTGTGTGGTTCATCTGAGAACATTTGAAAACAAATTATTGCTCCCTCCCACTATGTGGTACTGTAAAGAGGTGAGAATAGCTTGCAGGAGTCCAAGTCTGAGAGTGTTAGGAAGAAAGGCAAAACCACAGGACAAAGGTGGGCCTGGCTTGGCCTCAGCAGACAAAGCTGAAGGGTATCAAAATGCTCTTAAGTTGGGGGTGCCTGAGTGGCTCAGTTGGTTGAGCATCTGACCTTTGATTTTGGCTCAAGTCATGATCCCAGGGTCATGGGTGGAGCCCCAAGTCAGGCTCCACACTGAGCGTGGAATCTGCTTGAGAGTCAGTCTCTCTGTCTCTCTCCCCCCCCCCCTTTCTCTCTCCTCCC